CCTTTGACAGACAAGAGTTCCATTGTAGACACTTTTGCCTCCCAAGAAACACCCTATTTTCCTTATTTCTCAGTGATATAATTTGAATACTGAAAGAACAAAGAAATTAAGAACTTCCTACAGGCCAATTTATGATGATGGTTTTAAAAAGGAACGAAACATGCGATCCCTGAAATGACCCAAAAACAATATCTGGAATTGATCATCCCCCTGAAATCTAAGCTATTACCTCTAGATCGTTTCATAAAACCAGAAATACCCAGATCCTATTTGCTCTAAAATAACATTAAAAAACTGATCAAACCAACAAGCAATCAATAGAGATGGAACCTTTTTTATATTGAAAAAGCTGTCAGAGAAAGGAAAAAGACCTGGAAAACCCCAAAACCAAGATAAAGGAAATGGATTGTACCTCGAGTTGCTCAGACAAAGGAAGGAAGTGGAATCGTGTAGGGAAATGGGAAACATCACTTGCTTTACTTATAGCGGTGAGTTGGGGTATTGATTGTATCAACCGCCAAGGATCCAACGTAGTTGACACGCAATGCACACTGAGACTTAACTCTTAAGTTTTATTTGGAGGATATTGACTAAAGGACAACCGTTTAATTTAAGATCCGAGTAAAGACATTTTGCGTAATTGAAAATATTATAAAAATATAATTTTTTTAGAGTAATTTAAAATGTAAATTTTTTTAATATTTTTTTGCTGACAACTGAAAATATTATATTATTCGTAATATTTTTAATTCAACCGAAAATGTTAAGAAAAGTTAACATTTTAAGTGCTCCCAATGAATTTATTATATTTTTTTATAACATTTTATGTTGTGTTCATTTTCTATTATTTCTTAATCTTAAATTAGACTGTTGCGCAACAGAATTACGCTGGGTTGAAAAGATATCACCTCAATAAATATTAAAAAATTTATATGAAAAAATAATAATGATGAACTATTAAAATAATCACTTTTATTTTTATTTTATTCATTTTGATAACTGATTTTAGGAAAAAAATTATATTTCAATTACTTAAGTTATCAATTTGTTAAAATTTTAATAACTTGCTTTACTGATCGTTACATTTGATCACTAAACATTTAACTCTTGTTAGTTTAATGACATGACATGTTAGGTAAATAGGTTAATTTTTAATTTAATCCCTAAACTCTAGATAAAATATCAATTTAATCATTAAATTCGATCAAAGTCTCTTATCGTCAATCTTCACTCATTGTCGATCGTCGTCGTTGATGACCTTTGGACTCCAAAATAATTAGTTCACTCTTTTTTAACTTCCTAAATGTGAAATCGATGTTTATTTCACCAGAAAAAAAAATCTCAAACTCAACAAATTTAACCTAAAGTACTTCCATTTCCTTTGAAAGTAAACTATAATAATAATAATTTTATCATTAATATTCTCATAAAAATCCAAATCAATATTATAATCAAATCTGTATTTTTTTAATATTATTATGTTATAGACTTTAGTTTTGTTTATAATATTATTATGTTATACACTTTAGTTTTGTTTATAATATTGTTTATAAATTTATAAAACTGTAACAAAAGCGATAGAACTTTAATCCAATTTTAATCTAAATTAAATTAATCTTTAATTATAAAATAATGTATTTGATAGTTGAAGCGATAAACCAATGAGTCACTATTAGGCTCGAATCATAGGAATTGAAATTTTTTATTTTATTTTTTATCTAAACATTGAGCATTTGTAATCGGCAATATCTAACAAAATATATAACATAAATATATAAATCTGCATCGTATTATTAGTTTTAAAAAATTAAAAAATTAAAATTTATAATGAATATTTTAAATATAACAAAAAATAAAATGTAATATTTTATAAATTTTTAATATTTATAAATATTAAAGATTTGATAAATTTTAATATTATATATATATATATATATATTATATAATTGTGTAATATTTATATTTTAGTATGTATATAAAGAAATATTGATTAATTAAAAATAGCGTAAAACAAATATGATTCTACAAATTTTGTTAAATTACTATTTATAATTTGTTAAATTTAATTTTTATAATATGTATAATACTAAAATAAATTAATAAAAAAGAAAAACTAGTTTTTGGAAATGGCAATGGAACTTCAATCAAATTCTAACATAATGTAAATTAAATCTCAATCATAAATTGTGCAACTCCCCAAATTTTTGAGTCAAATCAGGAGAACTGACCCGAGAGGCATATGGATCGAGTGGTGTTGGCGATTGTAATTGTTGGGCTGGATGTAGGCCCAACTGAACAATTTGGGTTACTTAGGGGATAAAATAAGAAGGATAAAAAGTGTAATTATATCATTATTAAGTATTAAACTATTTTTGGAGATTTAGTTGGGGTTTTGTTGAAAAGTTCATGTTATTAAGTATTAAACTATTTTTGGAGATTTAGTTGGGGTTTTGTTGAAAAGTTCATGGTCGTTTCATCTTTTTCCATAATAAGTTCCATAATTCAAGGTGAGTATTATGAGGTTCATCTAGAGTTGTAAACGAACCGAGTCGAGTTCGGGTATTGTTGAATTCAACTCGACTCGAAAACTTTAAAATGAAGTTTGGCTCGATTCAAAAGCTTACGAGCCTAAAATTTTCAAACTTGACTCGAACTCGAAACCATGAATTGAAGCTCGAAGAAACTTGAAATAAAAAAATCTTAAACTTAACAAGATTGAAGCTCAAAACCTGAACTCGAACATGAATCATAAGTACATGAAGCCTTATACTATATTTAAAAAAAATCAATACATAAATATTAATGTTACAAATAATTTTTTTTTTAATAAAATTTTAATATATTATTTTCTCTGAGTTGCTTGTGAGCTTTTCGAATCGAGTATTAAGTAGCTCGTTTTGGCTTGTTAAAAACTCGAGTCAAGTTGGAACTTGAGTCGAGTTCATTTAAATCAAGTATTTATTAAGCCTTGATCGGTCGAGCTCGAGTAGCTCACGATCTGTCTCATTTCATTTACTGTCGTAGGTTTATCCATGTTTTTCAGAGGCCCTAATCTGTCTCAAATCCTTTTTAGAAACATCTTTGTATTAAGGATTCTCCGCATTTCTTGTTTGACTAGGAAAAGTAGATATATAACATTATAGTGTAAGAAGAGAAGAAGCAAGTGTAGTTGAGTAAATGAGCTCCATTTTTGGATTCTAGCATCAATACTTTGTGTTTTTAATCCTTCTTGATGTTATGATTTCTTAAAATGTGACGCTTTATTGTTGATTTGAACATTTAAGTATGTTGGGTGTTTTTTTTCATGATTTATGACTTAAATGATATTTTGATTATCAAACATGTGTTTTCATGGTGCCAGGCAATCTTAAATATCGCTATTAGGATTTAAAAATTAATTTTGGGTTAAGTTAGAGTGTTTAGAGTGAGTTTTGAGGTGTTTCCCGTATGAAATAGTGCATTTATGTGTTATGGTATCGGTACTAGATTAATAAAGGCAAATATTGACATTTTGCAAGGATACTCTATAGGGTAGTGTTGGAAAGATCCTTAAGCTCGGATTGAATCTCGACTTAAGTGAAAGACTTATATTTTTTAGAGTCACAATTGACCTTTTGAGTTAGGTAGGGTTGGATACCTAAAATCAAATTCAAATATATTTTGGAAAACTTTTTAAAAGAAAAAAAAATAATCTATATCTTATCAGAGATTCACTTGGAAGAATTCATGAGTCAATTATGCATGTGAAAGGATGAACACCCTCATAAAGCCCATAATCAGTACCATACCGATTTTAGATTATCTTAATAGTGAAATTTATATGTTTGAGCCAAAATTTAAAATATGATCCATTTACTTACCTTTGAAGGTTTTATACTGCAAAAAAAAAAAGTTTGGTATTTTAGTAATAAAAATATAACTAGAGTTAAGATTAATATGCAAAATAAGTAAAAATATCATGAATACCAAATTAATAAAAATAATAGATAACATGAAAAAAAGATTAAATAAAAATTAATATCGAAATTTAAAGGCATAATGGAAATAAACAAATAATTTAAAGCATAAATTTAAATTGTGAATTTCAAAAATATAAAAATTTAAAACAAAATAGAAAATAAATAGTAAATATATAAAATAGAAAAATAATAAATATATATACATATATATATACATAATATGATAAATATTATTATTCAAAAAATATGTATTTCTATATTAATAATGATAGAAAAATATAAATAGAAGTATATAAATATATATGATAAATTTTTGTTAATTATTTGACTACGCGTAAGTTCTAAATTTAGTCTCTGAATTTTAGTTTGACAAAGTTAACGATATAATTTTTGAATTTTAAAATTTCAATGAGACTTATACGGTGAATGGATAACATAACTAAATTGCATAGACTTAAAATAATCAAATTAAAAAATAACAATAAAATTTGCAACTTACTGATCAAAAAATAAAACTTGACTTATTGCATAGATTCATGTACCGTTTAAGTTATGACTTATTGCATAGATTCATGTACCGTTTAAGTATATGAACTAAAATTGACTAAATTAAAGTATATAGACAAAATGCAAAAAACATAAGAACTCATGACTTAGTTTTAAAAAAAAAAAGTTTAGAGACAAAGAGTTATTGGCCAAACACACCTTTTCGTCTGTATAAAAAATGTCATGACATAATTAATGTGAAAATGATGCTACATGTATTATTAATTTTTCGGAGAATAATATATCGAAAAAAGCAACTAAAGTTATTGAATTGGACCCACTTTTTTCCTTTAAAAATTAATATCTTTCAACTTTTAATCAGATGAGATTTTCTTGTAGTCCGTAAACGACAAAGTATTTTCCTAAAGTTTCCAACTTTAATTTTTTAATGATATAAAAGAAAAAGGTAAAAGTAAAAGTTTTGATGCGGAAGACCAAGACTTTCTGCTTGGGAGATATATTATTGGAGGCAACATTAAAGTAAATTATTGTAGGAGAAGTATCACTTTCCCACTTCATTGCTCTCTGTTTGCAATCTCACTTCGTTTTGTTTCTCAAAAATTGAACTCAAGGAGGAGGTACGCTTTCAACTCACTGCTGATTCCCTATAGTTTTTTTTTCATCTTTGATTATGATTATGCTATGTGTTTCCTTATTTAATATGTTGTTATCTTTTGGAGCCAGTGTTCTTATCCCGAGGGTTTCCTTCCCAGTTGTTCTATAGTTTGTTCTGCTTCGTATAGACTTTTCAAGCGAAAACATGGACTTTCTTGTTTCCATTGTTGGATCTCTTGTTTCCAAAGCTGCTGAGTACACCGTCGATCCCACTGCACGACAACTTAGTTACTTATTCAAGCATAAGACCAAGTTTCTGAACCTCCGGAGTAAAGTTCAAGACCTGAAGGATGCAAGAGAAAGGGTGCAACAATCTGTTGATTCGGCTACCAGGAAGGGGGAGAAGATTTTTGATGATGTTCGAAGGTGGTTGACAGAGGCCGATGAGAAGATCTACGAGCAGGCCGCAAAGCAGTTGGAGGAGGATGAAGAGAAAGCAACCAAGAGGTGTTTCGCCGGCTTTTGCCCCGATTTCAAGTCCCGTTATCAGCTTAGCAGGAAAGCGGAAAAGGAGGCCAATGCCATAGCTCAACTCCTGACTGAAAAGGATGCATTTAAGGATGTTTCCTACCATCCTGCAGTTGAAGTGACAGACGTTATCAGATCTGTCAAAGAATACGAGGCCTTCGGATCAAGAAGCGTTGCTTTTGATGAGGTCATGGCAGCATTGGAAGATGAGACTGTCAGTAAAATTGGAGTGTACGGGATGGGGGGTGTGGGGAAAACCACACTTGTCAAAGAGGTCGCCAGACAAGACAAGGTGAAACTGTCGTTTGATGAGGTGGTCTTCGTACCTGTAACACAAACTCCAAAGGCAGTAAATCTTCAAAATGAGATTGCCAGTCAGTTAGGAATGAAACTAGACAACGACTCAAGCGCTGATGTGCGAGCAGCCCGGCTACGCGATCGACTGAAGAAAGCTAAGAAGGTTCTTGTCATCTTGGATGATATCTGGGTGGAACAGGAAGTGGACACACTTGGAATTCCTTCAGCAGACCAACACAGGGGATGCAAGATATTGATGACATCTAGGAAGATTGATGTGTTAAAAAGGATGGATTCTCAACCAAACATTTCAATTGAAACACTGAAAGAAGATGAAGCTTGGAACCTGTTCAAGAAAATGGCTGGTCATATTGTTGAAAGCTCTGAAATACGGTCTATAGCAGTTGAGGTTGCCAAAAGATGTGCAGGACTGCCAATCGCTATTGCTACAATTGCAAAGGCTTTAAAGCCTAAAGATAAGTTGTTTGAATGGAGGGATGCTTTGCGACAACTAAGTAAGCCCTCTAAAACAAATTTCGAAGGCATACCAGCATACGCATATAAAGCAATAGAGTTGAGCTATAAGTTTCTAGAAGGTGAGGAACTTGGGCCAATCTTTTTACTATGTAGCATAATGGGTCATAATGCTACCGTGGAGAAATTGTTGAGATATGCCATTGGTTTGGGTTTTATCCATGATGTTAACACCATGGAAGACAGTCGAGATAGAGTATTGACATTGGTAAACAGTCTCACGGCCTCTTCTTTGTTACTAGAAGGTTCTCACCCAAACCGTTTTGACATGCACGACGTTGTACGTGATGTCGCCCAATCCATAGCCTCAAGAGATCGACATTGGCTAGCTTTATTCGAAGAGTTGCCAAACGAGGAGAAAATGAAAGAAAGCCAGCTGATAAGTTTACAGAATGCGGAGCTCAATGAGCTTCTTTATCACGAGTTAGAATGTCCAACCCTTGATTATTTCTCAATTGGCATGGATCATTTTTCGCCTCTGAAAATTTCAAATGACCTTTTTAAGGGGATGCAAAGACTCAAAGTCTTGGAATTTGGGAAAACAAAATTTACAACCTTGCCTTCCTCTCTTGGTTTCTTGAAAACTCTCTGTACATTGCGTTTGATAGACTGTGCTTTAGAAGATATAGCCATCTTTGGAGAGTTGGGAAATTTAGAAATCCTTGACCTCCGTGGATCTAGAATGGAAATGCTTCCAAAGGAGATAGGACAGTTGACCAGGCTAAAATTACTAGACTTGACTGAATGTGGCCGTCTTAAAGTAATATCACCGAATGTGTTGTCAAGTTTATCTAGATTGGAAGAACTATACCTATACTATAGCTTTGATGGATGGGAGGTTGAGGGAATTGAGACTCCAAGAGGGAATGCCAGTCTTGTTGAGTTGCAGCATTTGTCTCGTCTAATCACTTTGGAAATACATATTCCTGATGTGGAAGCCATACCAAAGGATAACTTGTTTCTCGGAAAGATGAAAAGGTTCAAGATTTCAATTGGAAATGAGACGTGGAAAGGGTCTGATCTGGAGAGGGTGGAAACATCAAGAATGTTGAAGCTCCAGACGAATAAAATTATTCATTTGGTCAATGGGATTAAATTGCTGTTGGGAAAAACTCAAAATCTATATCTCTTTCGATTGGAAGATGTTGAGGAAATGCTCTATTACCCAAGTGTCGAATCTTTTGGGCAATTAAGATCCCTGAGAGTCGAGTTGTGCGATAGGTTAAAGAATTTGTTCTCATTTTCCATAGCCAGAACACATCACCTGCTTGAAGTACTTGAGGTATCAGATTGCAAGAACCTCACAGAGTTAATTGTAGAAAAGGAAGAGATTAGCGAGAATGACACTTTGGAATTTAGTAAACTTCGCATCTTAACGCTAGATAGACTGGATAAATTTAATGGCTCGTGGCATTCGGAAAATACATTTCAATCCGTCGCATGGCTTTTTGATAAAAAGGTAATTATATTTATTTTATTTTCATCTATTAATTATGGTGTACATCAAATTTTTTATATTTTGATGTCTTTTCATGCGTTTTCCTTTAAATTGGATAAAAGAGTATATATTTATGCACTATTATATGATGCTGCGAGTTAAGTGACATTTATTCAATTGAAAAAAAATTAAGAAATTAAATTTTAAAACAATTATAGAATATTATTATAAGAATTATTTTTCATGTCATTTATTATCTTTATATAATATTTAAAAAGAACTTGTTACTTTCTAAAATAAACTATATGTTCTGCATGATAATTCAGAAAGAATTGCTATTAATGATGGGATATGAAACATGAGTTTTATATATTTGCAGGTTTCGTGTCCAGCCTTGGAGGAGTTGGACTTGAAGTCAGTGGGTGGCATTGAGAAAATATGGCATATTGATGATCAACTTTCTGGAATGTCTTTTGGGGTTCAAAGTTTAAGTTTTTTGAGAGTGTTGTATTGCCGTAAGTTGAAGTACGTATTTACTTCATCTATGGTTAAAAGCTTTGTGCATCTGAAAGAACTTGTGGTTTGTGGATGTGATGAAATGGAAGAGATAATAGAAGGAACATTAGCGGCAACAGAAGAAGAAAGGATTAGAGGCAGCATATGTGTGTTCCCTAAACTTGACTTTATGTATCTCCTTGGGCTTCCAAAATCGAAAAGATTTTGCAGTGGAAATTATCCAATTGAATTTCCCTCGCTAAGGGTGTTAATGCTACAAAGATGTCCTGAATTGAATACGTTCCTTTGTGATAGTGGAAAGAGCGGAGAAGCGCCGCCAAATTATCTCTTCAATGAAAAGGTATGCTTTAATTCTTCATGAATACATAGATATTTCCTATATGAAAAAAAGCAAATATTTTAATATAGAAAATTGTTTCACTTCAGTTATTGGTTTTAGTGGTAATACATACAGGAATAAAAAAGTTACTATTTTAATTTAATAAAAAAAATTATTAATTGTAAAAAAATATAAAAACAATATTTTTTTAGAGGAAAAAGAAAACAAAAAACCAATCATATGAAGCCTATTTGCAGTTCTAGAGTTGGCGAATTTCACAAAAAAATCACCCTAACGGTTTTTATTTCCTGTCAGACACACATGGAGGTTTATCTCTTGATCTAACACCTTTTGCAGAAAGGATCGACCCATGCACCACGTCTTACGCTGATGTGGCGTCACGTGTTGAAAGGCGCGGCCATGCACCGCGCCTTAAGCCATGTGTAAAAACCGGGTGCTAGTTTCGTAAATATTTTTAAAATGATGACTAATATGTAATTAATTTCTGTTAGGGTGATTTTTGTGTAAAAACGTCTTATTTATTTATTTTTTATGTGAAAAAAATGTTCTGCATTAAAATCTTTAAATATTCTTTTGCAAATTATTTTATAACTTGACAAATTTTGATTTTTGTATGAAATTACATAATACGTATAATCTAGTATAGGAAAACTTTGAGGGTACGCAATTTAAAATATGAATAATTTTATAAAAGTTTTATAACTAGTATTTATTTTACAAAATATGAAATATTTTCCTTTCTTTTGTGTTACTCTCTAAACTTGTAACAAAATTTAATAAAAAAATAATGTAAAGCTAAAAAATATCACCTATATATTTAAAATATTCTTTCTAAGCATTCCAATCCGTTGCATAGCTTTTTCATAAAAAAGATAATTATATTTATCTTATTTTGGTTTATTAATTATGGTGTACATCAAAATTTTTATATTTTGATGTTTTTTTTACTATTTTTCCTTTAATTTAGATAAAAAAAAGTATATATTTATTCACTATTATATGATGTTGCGAGTTACGTGGCATCGATTCAATTGAAAAAAATAAAAAATTAAATTTTAAAACAATTATAGAATTTTATTATAAGATCATGTCTTTTATTATCTTTATATAATATTTAAAAAGAACTTGTTACTTTCTAAAATAAACTATATGTTCTGCATGATAATTGAGAAAGAATTGCTATTAATGATGGGATATGCAACATGAGTTTTATATATTTGCAGGTTTCGTGTCCAGCCTTGGAGAGGTTGCACTTGGCGTCAGTGGGTGGCATTGAGAAAATATGGCATATTGATGATCAGCTTTCTGGAATTTCTTTTGGGGTTCAAAGTTTAAGAGATTTGAATGTTTGCGGTTGCAATAAGTTGAAGTACGTATTTACTTCATCTATGGTTAAAAGCTTTGTGCATCTGAAAACACTTTTTGTTGATGACTGTGATGAAATGGAAGAGATAATAGAAGGAACATTAGCGGCAACAGAAGAAGAAATGATTAGAGGCAGCATATGTGTGTTCCCTAAACTCGACTCTATGCGTCTCGATGGGCTTCCAAAATCGAAAAGATTTTGCAGTGGAAATTATCCAATTGAATTTCCCTCGCTAAGGGAGTTAAGGCTACGAAGATGTCCTGAATTGAATACGTTCCTTTGTGATAGTGGAAAGAGCGGAGAAGCGCCGCCAAATTATCTCTTCAATGAAAAGGTATGCTTTAATTCTTCATGAATACATAGATATTTCCTATCTGGAAAATAAAGCATATATTTTAATATATAAGAATTGTTTCACTTCTAGTTATTGGTTTTAGTGGTTATACATACAGGAATAAAAAAAAGTTACAATTTTAATTTAATAAAAAATCATTAATTCTATAAAAATATAAAAACAATATTTTTAGAGGAAAAAGAAAACAAAAAATCAATCATGTACAGCCTATTTGCAGTTCTAGAGTTTGGTTCTTGTACAATTAGCTTCTTACACCACAAATATTGTAAGACAATCCAGCATTTTAGAGTCAAAAAGTTTAAAATTATTTTTAATGTTGGATGGATGATGATGGGATTTATGAGAAAATTGAAAAAAAGAAAATGAAGTAAAACATGATGTGTATGGTAGTAGCAATAAACTATTTCCTTAACTTGAATTCTTTTGCTGTTATGTTTTCTATGATATATACTTGCTGACACATTCAAATCAATTACGTATGTAGGTTATACTTCCTGTGCTAGAGATATTGGGAATTTATGAAATGGACAACTTGGAGACGCTATGGTGTGACCAACTTGCTCAACATTCCTTTTCTACACTAACTTCCATAAATTGGCCCTCATTGAAGAAGCTGTATGTGAGTGGATGTCACAAAGTGGGGATATTGTTTGCTTCTCGAGAAGTAAGTGGAAGTCATCAGCCCCTCTTTTGGGTGAATGAGGTATCATCCTAATTCCCAAACTCTTTATTTATTTGATTTGATTCTTGTTTAGTGTTAGAGTCTTTCAATTTTCAACAATGCATCCTATGTTTGTGTCGTTAACAAACAAAGGGTAATTGGTGCAGTCTACGTTTCCAAATCTACGTAAACTCACTTTGGGATGGAATGCTGGAATCAAAGATATCATATGGCATTGTGAAACCCAACAAAAACAGCAACTTTTGTCTCACTGCTTGCCCAACCTGAAAGTCGTTAAACTTGAGGGGTATCCGGAGCAATTAACCCTATTACCATCATACTTGTTCCATTTATTAGCCATACCCTATCTTCAAACACTTGAAATAAGAGAATCGTATTTTAAAGAAATGATATTTCAAAGTGAAGAAGGTGGTGAGGAAAAGCCTTCATGGCTGCTACTCTCTCAGATAACTGAATTAAAGTTGTATTCTCTTCTTGAATTGGTGCATCTATGGAAGGAAAAGGAAGGATTCCCAAATCTAAGGATTTTGGATGTTCACCGGTGTCATGAATTAAAAGGTAATCTAGCTCCATCCTCGGCATCTTTCCGAAATCTGGTGACTTTGAAAGTATGCGACTGTGACGGAATCATAAAATTAATCACACATCCCACAGCCAAAAGTCTAGTGCATCTCAAAGAAATGATTATAACCAGTTGTAGAAATATAGAGGAGATAATACAACGTGGGGATGATCACGATGAGCTCAGTTTCCCCCTACTCAACAGTTTGGTACTTGAATCTCTACCAAAACTAGAAAGCTTCTGCTCATCAGGGAATTATACCTTTTCATTCCCATCCTTGGAAGATCTAGTTGTACAGGATTGCCCCAAGATGAAGATGTTCTCTCAAGGACACTCAAACACTCCAATGTTGCACAAAGTACGATTACACTGGCGGGAAGTAAAAGAGCGTTGGGAAGGCAGCCTTAACAACACCATACAGCACCTATTCAGAGAAAAGGTATGTTTCCACAAATTTCCTTTTTATATACTATTTTACAAATTTGCTGTAATTGCCTTTACATTATATACTCACTACAAACAATATATACACATTCATTCATACAGGTTAGTATAAATCTTATACAAATATAATGACAAATTGAAAATCCATTAATATAGGTTCATATTATACTAACAGAGGTCCAAATTACGTCAGAGATACGAATTAAAAAATGTACGATCTATACACGTTTTGTATTGTAACTCAGATAATTTACAAATCTATGAGTGTACATTGTAACGTATAAAATTATATACTTATGAATCTTCATTCCCTTAGTTAATATAATATTTTTTAAATTATTTTTACCAACAAATTGAAAATCTATTAATACAGGTTCATATTATACTAACAGAGGATCAAATTTTGTTAGATATACGAATTAAAAAATGCACGATTTATATAAGTTGTGATTGTAACTCACAGATTGTGTATGAATTTGTACATGGTCATTGCATCTAATACAAATCTATGAGTGTACATGGTAACATAAAAATATATATATTTCATTATGTTATTCACGCGGTAATCATAACAGCATGCGATGAACGAGGAAGGTGAGAATTCTAAAGAAGATCAAAGTAAATCTTTTCCACTTCTAACGCCCAGGTAAGTCTAAATACATTTTAATTTATTCTTTTTTTTTCTTTATCATAAATGATATTAATCTCTCTTGAGGATTATTAAATGTAGAATCTCAGAGGAAGTGGAAAATTCCACAAAAGATAAAGGCAGTTCTTCAACTTCTAACTTCGAATGACCTGAATCAAGTAAGCATATATAATGTGGATAGTTATTGTTAGCTTCAACAAGATAGCTTCTTAGGTAATGATTTCTTCATCTTAGGTTCAAAAGTGCAAGAGTACTTATAATTCTTATTCCCTTAGTGTGTCACTTGATTTGAGTTTATATATTAATCACTTGATTTTTCCTCTTGTGGCCTCATATTGAAACGTCTGTTATCATCAATGTAACAGTGTATGGTAGCAGAAAACTAATCGATTCGAATGTTGCCCCTCCTATTTTGCTCTGCCTTGATTGAAGTTTGATGGCTTGCGAAGAATGAATCGAAGGTTTAAAACATGGATTCGATAGAATTTGTAATTAACAAATTTTCCATCTTTAGAATATCGTTTGATTTGTTCTAATATTTGTGACGAATAGTACAGATTGTGTATGTCGAAGTATGCAATTTATGTTATGAAGATTTGTGATCTAGTCTAAATCAACCATGTTTGTATTTGTAAATATATATATTTGTAGTGAAAGTATCTTTGGCAATGATGTATACTCATTCGTTTATTTATATTCTCTGGTTTTGCAAAACCAAGTTCCTTGGTTTATCCTTAGCCTCACATCTTCCCTTTCAGCTCGGGAGCTTGACCCTCCTTTGTCTTCGTAAGTCACTTGCCGTCGGTAGGCAACGTCTCCTCTACCTTTGCTTTGTCTGTGTGCTTTTCCACATTTTTGTCGGAGTCGAGTTTCCGTGGTTATCCTCTAACTAGGTCATCTCCTATTGCCTTTTAGTATCTTCACCTCTTTAGCCTCAGCGGTCAAGCGTCGTTGTTGCTTCAATGTGATTTTTGTGGTGTGCAGTGTAGACCACAGTTTTCCTCTAGCGGAAGTGCTGGGCAGTATTTTTCCGTCTTCCTTCTATGGAGGTTTTCAATGGAGGAAGAGAAGAAAAAGTCGTAACACCATACATGTTATGTGGCATGCTACAGCATTACAAGCTGATCATTAACTTGTCATCAAATTTTACGTATTAAGAGCACTCGGAGATGACATTGTTAGAAGAATGGAAGTGAAGGTCGCAAACTTCGAACATGATAAACCGAACATCAAGGAAAAATGAGGAGCAAATGAAGCACAAATCAAGCAATCAAATCAATTGAAAAAGAAAAGCAAAAACATGTTACAACTGGTGATTAGGCAAACCCAAAAACACTGCCTTAACAATGCCATTAACCAACCAAATTAGTAGAAACCCAAAGGGTCAAACCCCAATTTTTCATATTCTTCTCCCTCATCACCAAACACACCATACAATTAAACCCCTTGTTTTTTATCTCATTTATAAAGACTCTCTCAGTTAGATAAATATTTTTTTAACTTCTACATTTCATCATCTGGTCCTCCCAGCATCACCTGCATAATCACAACATATTCTATCACATTTCAGTTAAGTTCTGCAGCAAAAATGATGTATCAAGATAAATGTAAGTAACTTGGATTTCTGAGATTCTTCGAAAAGATTGTTAGGAGCGTACGTTACAATCGAGAGCGTGCTTTCATGCAACCATGATAGTTGCATTTGTTTCCTTATCTGATTCAAATATTAATACAGAGGAGAGCTCTTTCTTCGGTTGCCAAAACAATGACTTGGCCGGAGCATTTGCCTGGCCTCTAGCTCCACATAGCTTCATTAGAAAAAGCCAAAAGAATGTTAGAACGGTAAAAAAAATTTAAAGAATAATAAAAAACTTGTAAGAGGAGTAAAATAATCACCAGCATTGATGTGGAATAGTTTTCTCTGCACTTTGTGATCCATCCTCTACAGAGCTTGATCCTCATCTTTCCAATATTGAATGTGTAAGTCGAGCGTGATGAATGATCTTGTCCATTGATCTGGGAAATGACTACCTAGAAAAGACATTGAATGAATAAACTTCGATTAGAATTGAATGAGACGAATATTCCTACCATGTCAACTGGCTCTAGAATAAAATTTATGATGAACCAAACTACTCAATGAGACATTCTGGAAAAATGACATTCAATGGATAGCTGTTTTCTTCACTTTCCTTGTGTTATATCAATAGATTCATACACTATCAAAGCATCACACACATACAATTGATGATCATGATATCACCAAAGACAAATCGAAAGGAATCAAACGCACATTAAATTCACTGCTATATTTCTGCAAAAGTGTCTCATGTATCCTAAATTCCAGTATCTATATCAAAATTCAAAGTATCCCTACATAACTTATCTCTGCAACATAAACCCCAAAAGTTACAAATATCATAAAAGGATTACATGATCTCAAAAAAAAATTATCTCCTTAATTCTAAAGGCTAAGATATACTCTCTATTTATAGAGTCAAATACATGGTCACAAAGAAGCCTTATACCACAAGGATTCTTATCACAAATAAATTTAATCCTCAAATAATATTCAACTACTAGAATTACAATGAGATTCAATTTAATTATAAATTGTAATTTGGATCAAAATATAACAATGCATAAACTTTGATAAAATATCTAATATGGTATAAATATTTTTAAAATTTTCAATTTAGTATTTATACTGTCAATATGTCTAATATTGCATCTAAAATATCATTATGTGTATTATTATAGTACTAAATTAATATTGTTAGTAAATTTCAAATCAATCAATGAAAATTCATAGGTACTATAATGATATGTAAAATTATAGTTGAAGTTCCATATTAGAAATTTCAAAAGTACATATATCACATTAGGAATTTTGTCGAAGTATAAGTAGCACATTAGGAATTTTGTCAAAGTATAGGTACACATTAGGCATTTTGTCAAAGTATAAGTACAACATTAGACTTTTTTGATCAACGCTTAAGTACAATATTATACATTTGTTTAAGCTATATAGCTAGTGCCATAGGAGTTCCTTTAACTATGGATTCAATCACTGCCTCAAAATCTAGACTCGAATTTGCTAAAATCTGTGTTGAGGTAGGAGCGAATGAAGAAATTCCTAAAACTGTCGAAGTGGTTCTTGCAAATGGTCAAACGACCACGATTTTTGTTGAAGTTCCCTGGTTTCCTAATTGTTGTAGAAAATGTAATACGCTTGGTCATAGTGAGAAAGGTTGTTTGGCTAACTTGTCTACAGCCCCTGCTTCTTCACAAGTTTGGAGAAAAAAGGGTGAATTAACTCCTGTAGCACAGAATAATCTCTCTGGAGGTACTGAAACCTCTCAGGACCCGTTGTCAGTTGGTTCTCCTTCAAAGGATGAGACTACCTTAAAAGATAATGATTCCAGTAAAGAACCAGCTTGTTCTTCCCTTGACCGCAAAGACCCTCCTACCAAGGGTGAACCTTCTCTACCCAACTCTAATACTTCAAAAGATGAATGCAATGTCTCTAATATTCCCCCATCTCACTGTGATCCCCCTGTAGAAGGAGAGCTTGCTTCCCCTGTTCATTCTGATTCTCTTGAAAAAGGAATTAAAGCTCCTTCTGTTCCTAAAAGAGGTAGAGGTAGACCTGTAAAGGTTAAAACCAAAGTTGCTCTAAAAGGTTCTTCTAACAAATTTGAAGTTCTTAATATAGTAGATGAAAATTCTCCTTCCTTAGAGGATCAAAGTAAAAAACCTTGCTCTGCTGCCTCGGGTGTGGCAATACTGATCAAAGATCTTAAATCAAAAAAGGAGAAATTAGACAAGGCTAAAAGTAACTCTGACAGGGTTAACAGAGGTGTTTTAGATTCTTCATCCCAATGATAATCTTCTTCTGGAATGTCAGAGGATTAAATAATCCTCAAAAACAAAATAAAGTTCTGCATAAGGCTAATCTTTACAAGGTTGATGTTCTTTGTTTGATGGAGACTAGGGTTAAAGCTGAGAAATCTGAGGAATTATTAAATAATAAGTTCCGGAACTGGAATGTTATTTCAAACTATGATTTTGCTTCCAAGGGAAGGATTTGGTTTCTATGGAAAAAAGGTTTGGATTTCTCATTTTGTCATGCTACTGCCCAATGTATCTCTGTTAAAGGCCTTAACAATGGTGTTCCTATTATTATTTCTGCAATCTATGGTAGCAATGATGGTACTCAAAGAAGACAACTTTGGCAGCAATTACATGATCTTGATTCCAACTTTGGCTCTTTCCCTTGGATTCTTGGAGGGGACTTCAACATTATTCTTCACTCAAACGAAAGTTCTGACCATGATCTCTTGGGTCCACTTTCAAGACACTCTCCATGACCTTCTACTCCAAGATCATCCATTCTTTAGTCCTACTTTCACATGGAGCAACAAACAAAAAGACTCCTACCTTTCTAGGAAACTCGACAGAGTGCTTATTAACTCCTTTTGGGTCAACTCTTTCCAGAACTCGTTTGTGGAATTTCTTGCTCCAGGGTCTTCGGACCACTGCATGGCCCTTGTTTGGCTTAACAGAGAGTCCCAAGAAAACCGTCCCAAGCCATTCAAAATTTTTAACTTCTGGACTAAACACCCTAATTTCCTTCTTGAAGTTCAGCAATCTTGGCAGCAACCTATTCAAGGTAATCCTATGAAGACTCTTTTCCTCGAGTTAAAGCTCCTTAAGACTTGCCTGAAGAACATTATTAAGGATTGCTATAGTAATATTTCTGTAAGGGTGCATCAAAAGAAAGATGAGCTTGAACAAATTCAACATTCAACCCTTAAAAGGAATTAGCTCCATTGACAATGAGTTAAAAATTCAAAATGAGCTTTTATCCCTTGAAGCAGCAGAGAACATGTTTCTAAAACAGAAAGCTAAAGTCCAGTGGCTCAAGAAGGGTGATAAATGTTCTAAATATTTCCACTATTTCATTGCTGCTAAAAACAAAAGGGATACAATTAGAGTTCTTGTCAATGATCAAGGAAGCAGACTTGAGACTTTCGATGATATGGCATCTGAAGTCATTGAGTTCTTCAAAAAAAAAGTTGGGTACTGAAGATTTCAATGTTAAAGTTAGTGATCCCAATATCCTGAAAAAATCTACTTCAACTTAACTTGCCTAGTGAAGCTACAGTAGATTTAGCAAAAGAAATCACTGTTGAGGATATTAAGGAAGCTATCTTCAATCAAGGTAATGATAAGGCTCCTGGCCCTGATGGTTTTACTCCCCTCTATTTTAAAAAAACTTGGCCAGTGGTTGGCGAGGATGTGTTTAATGCGGTTACATTATTCTTCCAAAAGTCATCCATTCTGCCTGCTTTCAATTCCACTATCATAGCCTGGTTCCAAAAATCACTAATCCTAGCAAGGTAAAAGATTACAGACCTATTTCCTGTTGCTCAGTAATTTATAAGTCTATTACCAAGATTCTTGTCAAAAGGCTGACTAATCTACTACCAGAAATTATAACTCTCAACCAATCAGCCTTTGTTAAAGGTAGAACCATTATTGATAATACTCTCCTTGCTCGAGAACTAGTGAAAGGTTATGGAAGGAAGTCTATTTCCCCAAGGTGTGCTCTTAAAATTGACCTTCAAAAAGCTTTTGATTCCCTTCACTGGGGATTCATTTATTCTATTCTTAAGGCCATTGAACTGCCAACTAAGTTCATTGCTTGGATTGAAGCTTGTTATACAGAAGCTAGATATTCTATTTCTTTTAATGGATCCTTGATTGGTTATTTCAAAGGAGAAAGAGGCATAAGGCAAGGTGATCCTTTATCACCCATCTTATTTGTTCTTGCTATGCACATCCTTTCAAGACTTCTTAATATTGTTGCTGCCAGAGGTATTTTCGGGTACCACCCAAAATGTAAAAAGATTGGTCTCACTCACCTTTCTTTTATGGATGATCTTCTTATTTTCTGTAAAGGAAATTTAGAATTGGTTACTGGTGTTATTACTGTCCTTAACAAATTCTATGACATGTCTGGGCTTAAGTTAAATGCTGCCAAAAGTGAACTGTTTGCTGTTGGAATTTCTCTTAGAAATCTTGAGAACATTAAACTTTCAACTGGTTTTAATTATGACTACTTACCAGTGAGGTATCTTGGGGTTCCTTTAGTCACTCGAAAACTCAATGAAAATGATTGTTCGACCCTTATTGACAAGATCAGATTAAGACTTCGTCATTGGTCTGGGAAACACTTAAGCTATGTTGGAAGGCTTGAACTTGTTAAAACTGTCCTATTAAGTATAGCTAACTTCTGGTGTAGGCAGTTTCTTCTTCCTCAGGCTGTTATAAACAGGACAAACCAGTTGTGCTCTCGGTTCTTATGGAAAGGCTCCGACACTGCAGCTACTAGTGCAAGAGTCAGTTGTGATAATATTTTTTGTCCTAAATCCGAAGGAGGGCTCGGATTAAAGAATTTAAAATCATGGAACAAGGCTTGTATGATGCAGCTCATTCGAAACCTTTTTTCTGGTGAAGGCTCCTTATGGATTGCTTGGATTTATAGCTATGTGATAAAGACTAAAGACTTTAGAGAAATGACTGAAGGTGCTTCTTTTAGTTGGTGCTTCAAAAGACTTTTAAAATTAAAAACAGAGGCCCTCCCTATTTTAAATGCAGGAGCAACGAATACTAAAGTTATTTGGGAAGAGATTCGGGTCAAACGTGACAAGGTTCCATGGCATAAACTAATTTGGTTCCCCCTCTACATCCCTAAATTCAGCATTATTTATTGGATGGCTATCTTGGATAGACTCCCAACTAGGGAAAGGCTTACTTGTATGGGAATTGCCACTGTTGGTTCACGCGTTTTATGCAACGAGGCCCTCGAATCGAGAAACCATTTGTTTGCTGACTGTGCAACGGTAATTTCCCTATGGAAAGCAATATTAAGCCTCACTCACTTGATCAAGCCTCCTATGTCATGGGATAATATGCTTGCTTGGGCTTGTGCATCTTGGAAAGGTAAATCCCTCCTTACTACCATCATGAAGATTGCTTGGTGTGCTTTCATTTACATTGTTTGGGAGGAAAGAAATAGAAGACTATTCCAAAAAAGGGCTCGAACGATTGAAGAGATGTTAAGCTCCATAAAGGAGATTGTTGGCATTCAACTCGGAAGTAGAAATTTTAATAGACTTGATAATGTTAATATTTTTCTTTGTAACAATTGGGGTATAGGCTAACCATTTTTTGTTGTAAGTAGTTTGTCTTTGTTCCTTGATTGAGATGTTTTTGTACTGAACTCTTCTTTTGGATAATAAAATTTTACTTATCCAAAAAAAATTATACATTTTAAAAGTACATGCAACACGTTAAATATTTTGTCAAATATAAATATCAAATGTGACATTATTCCAATAAAAAATATGTTTAATTATGTCCCACACCAACAACCAGTTGATTTACTAGGATGAAACACTAGATTCTTTAAGCAAGGTCAGGAGTTCGAATCTGGGCATTTACGAATGAAGCAAAATGGGTTGGGAGGGTCGCCTTCACCTCTACAGTACCTGGTATGGATTAGTTGGTTAATAAATAGAATACCAATTGTTAATTCAAAAAATTATGATAAAATATAGCTTGAAAAGGGTGAAAGTATCCTCTAGGCCCCTCTATTATAGGAAACTGGACCAATTTAGTTCATCTATTGTAAAGTAGACTTGGTACTATTAAATGGATCAATTTAGTCCATGTATTAGTAAAAAGAATCAAATAATTTTTTTGCTTAATCACATGTCTCTGACTTATCGGTCGACTAATTCTGATCAAATATTACAGAGCTCCATTACAAAATGACCCTCCCAATCCAATTTTATCCATTTAAAATGCCAATATTTATAATATTTTGATTGTTTACGTTATCGATTTATACTATTTCGGTCACTAAGACATTAAACATCGTTAGTTTGTTGACATGATACGTTAGTAAAGAGGTTAATTTTTAATTTGACACCTAAAATTTAGATAGAATATCAATTTAACTCTTGAAATCGACCAAAGTCTTCGGTCATTGGTTGTCTCTCACCACCATCGATCAATTTTGGTCGTCGTAGGCTACCGTCACTTTCGTCCTATCATTTTCACCACCAACAATTCTCATCTTGAAACTGCAGTTAATTGAATTCTTAAGAGTGTGACTTATAATAACTAGTAATGGTAGAAATACTTTTCTATATTCTATAAGGTCATACATCTAAAACTTAATTCACTCAAAAATGAGATTCTATCTATTTAAAAGATAGGAAAATTTCCATCATTAGTTATCAATCTATTACCATTTTCCTATTTTGATCATCAATTTTTTTTATAAGAACATCACCAACGTTATTTCTAGTTTCTTATTTTGATCATCAATCGTTAAATATTAAACGATGATGTTGATATAGATTTTTAATCATTTTTTATTTTCCACGTTAGTTTTTGTTTCCTAATCAAAAGTTGCAATGGATACAAAGGTCGAGCTTGGGATTATCTTTCAATGGATAGGAAAGTAAAGCCAAGTATGAGAAGCTTGGGGAAACATGCTAAATAAAATATCAATCTGTTGTAGTCTAACTGACGAGTAAAAATTTTAAATCTACATCCGTCCGTGTGAATACATTCTCAAATCCATCTCTACACCCACTATCCAATTAGATACTCACCACACATCCCATACCTATATGTACATGTTCATACCCAATTGGTAGCAACCTTAGAGATTACATAATTAACAAAACATAAAACAAACACATCCATTAAGAGGCATAATAAAATCCTATACTAATACAGAGTTGGAACACTTTTGCTATCAGATGCCGCCATCCCCGGCCACACTCTTATATTCATGACAACTCCCAAAACGAAGAGGACAAGCTATTACAAACCCTATACCACTACCCTCAAGATCAACAATGTCAGAATACACTCAACCTCCCTCCCTCCATTGCTTTCGTTAACTACAACCTCCCACAGCCTCGCCAACTAACCACAATTTAAAATCCTTAACTAAGCATGTTTCCATCTAAGTTTACTCTTTAACTTTTAAGTTCTCTTAAAGCACCATGCTCGACACTTGTGTATGATGCATATCCAAACACACAAATATGGAGATATGACTCTCCAATGACCCTCCAAATACATCAACAAGAATCAAAACAGAAGACAGAGATATTCACCCGCATGATACTTATCAGTCCATATCTTATTCAATCTATATACATCAAAAAGAATCGAAACAACAGACATAGATATTCACCCGCATGATACTAATCAGTCCAGATCTTATTCAATCTATATATATCAACAAGAATCGAAACAGCAGACACAGATATTCACCCGCATGATACTAATCAGTCCAGATCTTATTCAATCTATATACATCAACAAGAATCGAAACAGAAGATACATATATTCACCCGCATGATACTAATCAGTCCATATCTAATTCAATCTATATACATCAGCAAGAAGGTAGTTGAAAACACAAACACACATATGTTTCGAAGTCTCTGTTTATTATCTATTCAACCTGTAAGAAAATCGAAACGATCTAAAATAAGATTAACATGGTAGACCAAAAAATTTCTTCCTATAACAAGCTTAACTAATGCAACCCCAACCATTAAATTACCTTTGACAGACAAGAGTTCCATTGCAGACACTTTTGCCTCACAAGAAACACCCTATTTTCCTTATTTCTCAGTGATATAATTTGAATATTGTAAGAACAAAGAAATTAAGAACTTCCTGCTGGGCCAATTTATGATGATGGTTTAAAAAGTAACGAAACATGTGATCCCTGAAATGACCCAAAAACAATATCTGGAATTGTTCATCCCCCTGAAATCTAAGCTAATTACCTCTATATCGTTTCAGAAACCCAGAAATACCCAGATCCTATTTGCTCTAAAATAACATTAAAAAACAGATCAAACCAACAAGCAATCAATAGAGATGGAACCTTTTTTATATTGAAAAAGCTGTCAGAGAAAGGAAAAAGACCTGGAAAATGGGGAATGTGTACCTCGAGTAGTCGAGTTGCTCAGACAAAGGAAGGAAGTGGAATTGTGTAGGGAAATGGGGAAAGTTCACTTGCTTTACTTATAGCGGTGAGTTGGGGTATTGATTGTATCAACCGCCAAGGATCCAACTATCCAAGGTAGTTGACACGTAATGCACACCGAGACTTAGGGTGCGTTTGGTTCACGGAATGTAAGATTACCAGTGGGAATGTAAGATTACCAAGAAATAGGATTATAGGGATATTATATTTTGTGTTTGGTTGGCTTAGCAGGAATGTAAGATTACCGTATTTGGTTAAAGGAATAAAAGATTATTGAAATTTATATTTGACCAAATTGTCCTTATTATATATTTGTATAATATTACAAGTTGAAAAATATTTATATATTTTTTTAAAAATTTTAAATTCATAATATTTATATATATTTTTTTACAAAATTAAAAATATAAAAAGATTTAATGAAAGGGTAAAATTGTATTTTAACCCCTGAACTTCATATAAAATTTTAATTATATATATTTTTTTGTAAATCTATAATAATTTAAGGATAAATTTGTAATTTAACCTTCGTAGAATTTTTATTATTCAATGACAGAAGAATGATGTTTTTGAAAAAAAAATAAAAATTTAAGGACATTTTAGTCCAAAACACCGGTAATCCAATAATACCTAAGGAAAGGGAGGTAATGACATTCCCGGTAATATACCCAAAAAAATCCACTATTGGTAATCTTACATTACCGGGAATAGGATTCCCGGGCTAACCAAACGTGGGAATGTGGATTTCATTCCCATGGAAATCCAACATTCCCCCATCCAAACACCCCCTTTAAGTCTTAATTTTTATTTGGAGGAGAAAGACAAAAGGACATCAGTTTAATTTAAGATTAAGTAGTGACATTTTGCGTAATTGAAAAATTATAATATAACTTTTTTTTAGTGTAACATAAAATGTTATTATTTTAATATTTTTGATTGAAATGAAAATGTTAATTTTTTATAATATTTTTAGTTCAACCTAAAGTGTTAAGAAGATTTAATATTTTAAATTGCTCTCAACTGAATTTATTATATTTTTTATAACATTTTTATGCATTCATTTTATGTCATTTCTTAACCTTAAATTAGACTGCAACACAATATAATTACACTGCTTAGGAAAGATATCACCTCGGTAAATGTTATATGAAAAATAATAAGGGTGAACTATTAAAATAATCATTTTTGTTTTTATTTTATTCATTTTGATAACTGATTTTAGAAGAAAAAAAATTATATTTCAATTACTTACGTTATGAATTTGTTAAATTTTTAATCGCATGTTTTACTGATTGTTACATTTGATCACTAAACAATTAACTTTTGTTAGTTTAATGACATGACATGTTATTAAATAGGTTAATTTTTAATTTGATCCCTAAACTCTAGATAAAATATCAGTTTGATCTTTAAATTCGATCAAAATCTCTTATCGTCAATCTTCACTCATTGTCGATCATCGTCGTTGATGACCTTTGGACTCCAAAATAATTAGTTCACTCTTTTTTTGGCTTCCTAAACGTGAAATCGAAGTTTATTTCACCATAAAAAAATCTGAAACTCAACAAATTTAACCTAAAATACTTCCATTTCCTTTAAAATTAAACTATAATAATAATTTTATCATTAATATTCTTATAAAAATAAGGACACCAAGAAAATCCAAATCAATATTATAATCGAATCCATATTTTTTTTGTTTATAATATTGTTATGTTATATACTTTAGTTTTGTTTATAATATTAATTATAAATTTGTAAAACTGCAACAAAAGCGATAGAACTTTAATTCAATTCTAATATAAATTAAATTAATCTTTAATCATAAAATAATGTACTTGATAGTTGTATCGATAAACCAATGAGATTGATTTTTGTCACTGTTAGGCTCGAATCCTGGGAATTGAAATTTTTAATTTTATTTTTTATCAAAACATTGAGCATTTGTCATCGACAATATTTAATAAAATATATAACATAAATATATAAATCTGCATGGTATTATTAGTTTAGAAAATAAAAATTTATAAAATATTAAAATTTTATAATGAATATTTTAAATATAACAAAAAATAAAAAGTATTATTTTATATAAATTTTTAATATTTATAAATTTTAAAGATTTGATAAATTTTAATATTATATATATATGTATTATATAATTGTGTAATATTTATATTTTAGTATGTATATAAAGAAATATTGATTAATTAAAATAGCATAAAACAAATATGATTCTACAAATTTTGTTAAATTACTATTTATAATTTGTTAAATTTATTTTTTATAATATTTATAATACTAAAATAAAAAATCAAAACTAGTTTTTGGAAATAGCAATGGAACTTCAATCAAATTCTAACATAATGTAAATTAATTCTCGATCATAAATTGTGTAACGGCCCAAATTTTTGAGTCAAATCAGGAGAACTGACCCGAGAGGCATATGGATCGAGTGGTGTTGGCGATTGCAATTGTTGGGCTGAATGTAGGCCTAACTGAATACAATTTGTGTTACTTAGGGGATAAAATAAGAAGGATAAAAAGTGTAATTATATCATTATTAAGTATTAAACTATTTTTGGAGATTTAGTTGGGGTTTTAAGCGGGGGTTTTGTTGAACATTTCATCTTTTTCCATAATAAGTTCCATAATTCACGGTGATTATTATGAGGTTCATCTAGAGCTATAAACGAGTTAAGTCGAGTTCGAGTATTGTTGAGTTCAATTCGACTCGAAACTTTAAAATGAAGCTTGGTTTGATTCAAAAGCTTGCGAACCTAAAATTTTCAAGATTGACTCGAACTTGAAACCATGAATTGAAGCTCGAAGAAGCTTGAAATTAAAAAAAAAAACCTTAAACTTAACACGGTTGAAGCTCAAAACCTGAACTCGAACATGAACCATAAGTACATGAAGCCTTATACTATATTTAAAAAAAATCAATACATAAATGTTAATGTTATTAATAATTTATTTTTTTGTAAAAATAAAATTTTAATATATTATTTTCTCTGAGTTGCTCGTGAGCTTTTCGAATCGAGTAATAAGTAGCTCGTTTTGACTTGTTAAGAAATCGAGTCAAGTTCGAGCTCGAGTCAAGTCCATTTAAATCAAGTATTTATCAAACTTTGATCGGTCGAGCTCGAGTAGCTCACGATCTGTCTCATTTTATTTACAACCGTACGTTTATCCATGTTTTTCATAGGCCCTAATCTGTCTCAAATCCTTCTTAGAACCATCTTTGTAATAAGGATTCTCCGCATTTCTTGTTTGACTAGGAAAAGTAGATATATAGCATATAGTGTAAGAAGAGAAGAAGCAAGTGTAGTTGAGTAAATGAGGATTCTAGCATTAATACAGTGTGTTTATAACCCTTATTGATGTTATGATTCCTTAAAATGTGACGCTTTATTGTTGATTTGAACATTTAAGTATGTTGGGTGTTTTTTTTCTCATGATTTATGACTTAAATGATATTTTGATTATCAAACGTGTTTTCATGGTTCTAGACAATCTTAAATATCACTCTTAGGATTTAGAAATTAATTTGGGGTTAAATTAAAGTGTTTAGAGTGAGTTTGGGGGTGTTTATCGTATGAAATGGTACATTTCATAAAATGTATTTATAACCCTTATTGATGTTATGATTCTAGCATTTTAGGATTCTAGCATCAATACTATGTGTTTATAACCCTTATTGATGTTATGATTCCTTAAAATGTGACGCTTTATTGTTGATTTGAACATTTAAGTATGTTGGGTGTTTTTTTTCTCATGATTTATGACTTAAATGATATTTTGATTATCAAACATGTGTTTTCATGGTTCTAGACAATCTTAAATATCGCTCTTAGGATTTAGAAATTAATTTGGGGTTAAATTAGAGTGTTTAGAGTGAGTTTGGGGGTGTTTATCGTATGAAATAGTGCATTTTTGTGTTATGGTATCGATACTAAATTAATAAAGGCATATATGAACATTTTGCAAGGATACTCTGTAGGGTAGTGTTGGAAAGATCCTTAAGCTCGGATTGAATCTCGACTTAAGTGAAAGACTTCTATTTTTTAGGGTCACAATTGATCTTTTGGGTTAGGTAAGGTTGGATACCTAAAATCGAATCCAGATATATTTTGGAAAACTTTTTAAAAGAAAAAAAATAATATATGTCTTATCAGAGATTCATTTGGAAGAATTCATGAGTCAATTATGCATGTGAAAGGATGAGTATCCTCACAATGCTCAAATTTATATGTTTGAGCCGAAATTTAAAATTGGATCTATTTACTTACCTTTGAAGGTTTTATACTGAAAAAAAAAGTTTGATATTTTAGTAATAAAATATAACTAGAGTTAAGATTAATATGCAAAATAAGTAAAAATATCATGAATACCAAATTAATAAAAATAATAGATAACATGAATAAAAGATTAAATAAAAATTAATATCGGAATTTAAAGGCATAATGGAAATAAACAAATAATTTAAAGCATAAATTTAAATTGTGAATTTAAAAAATATAAAAATTTAATAAAAAATAGAAAAATAAATAATAAATATATAAAATAGAAAAATAATATATATATATATACATAATATGATAAATATTATTATTCAAAAAATATGTATTTATATATTAATAATGATAGAAAAATATAAATAGAACTATATAAAAATTAGATGAAAAATATAAATATATATATACATAATATGATAAATTTTTGTTAATTATTTGACTACGCGTAAGTTATAAATTTAGTCTATGAATTTTAGTTTGACAAATTTAACGATATAATTTTTGAATTTTAAAATTTCAATGGGACTTATACGATGAATGGATAACATAACTAAATTGCATAGACTTAAAATAATCAATTTAAAGAAATAACAATAAAATTTACAACTTACTGATCAAAAAATAAAACTTGACTTAATAGATTCATCAATTATTGTTTAGGACATGCCCAAAATTTAGAACTAAAATTGACTAAATTAAAGTATACAGACAAAACGCAAAAAACATAACTCATGACTTAGTTTAAATAAGTTTAGAGACAAAGGGTTATTGGCCAAACACACCTTTGCCCAATTATGTCTT